TATAATCCTTTCAGTTTCTCTAGATTGGTGGTGAAGTCTCCACGTTATTCCTAGTCGCTAACTTTTAAGGCTTAGCGTGTGTGTGTGTGTGTGTGCGTGTGAGTGTGCACAAGTGCCATCAGAAGCCTTTTGTGGTCGCTCTCCACGTCATTCTTTGAGGCAGAGCCTCTCAGCTGAACCCAGAGCTTGTCCACACGTGCCTCTGTCTGCTGAGAGCTGGGATCAAGGAGGGCCTCTACCCCAGCCAGCCTTTGTGGGGGCTCTAGACTCCAGTCCCACGCTGGCTCGGCAGTAGCTTATCCACTGAGGCCTCTTCCCGGCCCTTAGCTCACTAATTGTTGTCTTCTTCTTTGTTTCTTGGTGAGTCTAGCCAAAGGTTTGTCAAGTTTGTTATCTTTAAAAACATAATTCTGGGTTTTATTGACTTGACTGGGTTTTTTTTTTTTCTGTATTGCATTTTAATTATTTTTTTTAATTTTATAAACTTTATTATTAAAAACTTGCAAATAAGTAAAATTTTACACAACAAAATGAACCAGACCCAAAGTCTGTACAATTTAATGGACTTCTATACAGGTAGAAGTGGTATTCCAAAAAGAAATTGTGAGATATCACATTAAATTGTACACTGTCAATATTGAATATATGTTTGCACATATCAGCAATTTCTACTCAATTCTTTGTTATTTTCTTTGGTTTGTTTTTGGTTATCTGTTAATGTTTTTTTCTAATTTATTAGCTTTAAATTTAGGTTATTGATTTGGAATCATTCTTCTTCAATTTAGATACTTACCTGTAGGGGCATTCAGTGTGGGTGTGAGTGTGTGTCCCGTATGGGTGTTTATTTGTGGGTATTTATTTATACCCACATTTGTTATTTATCTAATGTATGTGTAAAGACATAGACATGCCATACTGCTCATGTGGAGGTCAGGCTGCAGAGAAATCAAGCTAAAACTGATCTGGAAGTTTCCTGCCTGCTGCTAGATTTCTTTCCCAAGGAATCTAGAAGATCTCTTATTACCAGCAGGAGAGTTTAGAAATCACAGAATACAAGGGCTGTGTACGAAATCAATCTATAGACCGCAGATGTGACTCAGTAGCATAAACAAGGCCTTGTGTTCACTCTTCAGAGAGGAAAAAAAAAGTCCATCATCAGTGAACAACAGAAAATTGAAATCATAAAAACTAGATAAGATATGAAATACTTCCAGGTGTGGTAGCCCACGCCTTTGATCCCAGCACTCTGGAGGCAGAGGTAGTCGGAGCTCTGTGTTTGAAGCCAGCCTGGTCTACAAAGTGAGTTCCAGGACAGCCAGGGCCACACAGAGAAACCCACTCTCCATAAACCAAACCAAACAAACAAAAAACAAAAAAAAAGTAGATATGAAATATTCGCTGTAAATCCAACACATAAGAAAGATCCATATATTGAAGACTTTAAAATAATGGAAGAAATCAGAGGAGACCTGAATAAGTGAAGAAAGATATCATTTTTGAGGGTTGAAAAGGTCAATCTTGGGATAAAAAATTTCCTCAGGTTAATCTAAAGATTTAACATAATTCCAATTAAAATATCAACAATTTTTTATGCAATAAATAAGCTTGTTCTAAAGTTGGCATGAAAAGATAAAAGAACAAAGAGGATTCCTACTGCCCAAGTTTTAGGACAATAAGAAAGCTTTCCTTGTGAAGACAGCAGTGCAAAACCAGTGAACAATCAGGGAGCTAACCAGGACACAGAGAACCCCCGTGCTGGGGACCCAGCTTCTCCCCTGTCCTCACACTGCCATCTAAACTCCGCCACCTCACACGTGTGGGAATCCTCTCCTCGAGCAAGCAAGCAACTCTGCATCAACAGGGCATCCTCCCATCCTGCTCACTGCTGACACTATCACTTAGGATCTAGCTCAGTGCAAGGCCCTGGGTTCAACCCTTGGCACCACGACAAAAAAGGAAAGGGAAAAAGATGGAAGGAGAAATGGAGAGACAGAGAGATGGAGAAAGGGAGGGAGGGAAGGAGGAATAAATGTCCACTTTGCTGACACAGCAGGGAAGTAGTGTCAGGTCTCACAGATGGTGGCTTAGGCCCCAAGGTGGCCCCATTTAGACCTAGCTGTGTCTAGAACTCCAGAACTTCTGATCAACCAGGTACAAATTGGAGTTCTCATGACTCCCTCTTCCGATTTAACTAGCTCACCATGGCGACTCACAGAACTCAGATAACACAATCCTTACCTGTAGCCATAAAGGACATCTTAGAGAATACAGATGAGCATCCAGATCAATACATACACGGGTCTCAGCCTGAAAGGATCTCAAACATGGACTCTCTATCCTCTCAGCATGCAAACAGTCCATAATCACTTTCCTGCTAGTCCCTATGTTCACCTTCTAAAAGTGTTCCAAATTCTGGCCTATCGGTGTCTTTTTCAGCTTTATTGAACAGACGTGAGTTCTAACAGGGAACCCCAGAAGTCCTGTCTGTTCAGATCCTTCTTGGTCTCTCTGCAGCAGTCCTCTGCAGCGTTTGGGGAGGGTCCTCTGCAGTGGGCGGTCTTGCGGCTCACTCTGCAGGTATTTCTGCAAAGCCACAGAGAGCCAGGGTCGACCAGCGTCTCTGCGGCCCACCCTGGGTCAGGGTTAGAGGCCAGTAACCATGGTCAGAGCAGAAATACAGGGCTGGGGGTTGCAGCTCAGTGGTAAAGCGCTTTGTTATGCGTAAGGCTCTAAGTTCAGTGCTCAGTGAAATCACATATGTGCCCACCATCTCACACAGTCCAGAAAAAGGCCCACCCAGAAGTGGGCAAGTGATTTTATCAGCTTTCTTGAAGTATAGTTGATACAAAAAAGAACTACATACATTCAATCTGTGCACTTGGTGTTCCTGGAAACAAACTGGGTAAGATCGTCATCCATTTCACGCTGCTGTAACAGTGCCACAGACTGCATGACTTACAAACCACACTTAATTTGGCTCGGGTTCTGGAGGCTGGGTGCCAGAGAGTGTGGTGGTGAGGGCTTTGTCCAGCCCCATCTCATGACAGAGGCAGAAAGGGCAAGAGCAGCGGAGGGCTGACCTTGCCCTGGGCCAGTCCGCTCCGGATAGCGCTTTAACACACCCTAAAGCCAGCGCCTTCTTACCAACCACTCGGGTCTCCCTTCCCAACACTATTGCACGGGGTTAAAGTTTCAATCCGTCAAATCTCAAATGGTAACTAGCAGTCGTAAGGATAAGGCAATGAGTCGGTAGAAAAGCTTCTTAAACCTGATCCTGTTTATAGGCTGAAATTAGGGTTCAGAATGATGACAGACCGAGCAAAAGAAGGAACAAAAGGAAACATGATCAAAGGCACAGATGGGTGAGTTGACAGTCTGCAGAAAGCTTCTCTCGTTCTGAGACTATGGGAAAGGAAAAGAGGATAAGTAAATATAGATGGTATTTATTACCTTCAATGCTTGGGACAAAGATTTACAAACCGAAAGTCACGAGCCCAGTCATGAAAATTCTGAGTCTTTTACCATAGCAGTCTCAGATGAGGGTTTTCAAACGCTGGTCATAATAGCAACAAAGCTCTCTGCTTGTGTTCCTTTGGCAGAACGGTGTAAAGGGATTGTTGTATCAAGGATATGAGCTCCTATTCCTGCACACTCATGCTTACTGTGTACTGTTCACAGAAACCAGGACATGGAACCAGCCTTGGTGTCTGCCTTACAGTTTCTATTGCTGTGATGAAATGCCATAACCAAAAATTGGGGAGGAAAGGATTTATTTGGCTTGCGCTTTCACATCGCTGTTCAGCACTAAAGGAAGTCAGCGCAGGAACTCAAACAGAGCAGGAACCTGGAGGCAGGAGCTGATGCAGAGGCCATGGAGGGTGCTGCTTACTGGTTTGCTCTTCGTGGCTTGCTCAGCCTGCTTTCTTACAGAACCCAGGACCACCAGCCCAGGGATGGCACCATCCACAAAGGGCTGGGTCCTCCCCATCTGTCACCAATTAAGAATATGCCTCACAGCTGGATCTCATGGAGGCAGTTTCTCAATTGAGGTTCCCTCCTCTCAGATGAAGCTAGCTTGTGCCAAGCTGGCATAACACTAGCACGCTCACTATCATGGCCTTCAACATGAGAGGAATGGAGGGGCTGGAGAGGTGGCTCAGCGGTTAAGTGCACTGTCTCCTCTCCCAGAGGTCCTTAGTTCAATTCCCAGTAACCACATGGTGGCTCACAACCATCTATAATGTGATCTGATGCCCTCTTCTGGCATGCAGGTGTACATGCACTCATAAATAAATAAAATCTAATATATATGTGTATATATATGAGAGGAATGGAAAAGAAAATATAGTTATATACATAATAAGGTTTTGTTTAGCTATAAAAAACTAAATTATGTCATCCTCAGGTAGATGTGTGTAGAACTAGATATTATTGTGTGGAGTAGAGCAACTAGACTCAGAAAAAAAAAGAAGTATGTTTTCTCTTACTTATAAAGTCTAGATTCTTTTAAAAACATGAAAGTGGAAAGTGGTTATTTGGGAAGAGGACTTAAAGAGTGATTTTGGGGGGACAGAGAGCAATGGGGGTGAACAATCAAAGCAAATTATATGTGTTGTGGAAAATGCCAGAATGAAACCCACTTCGGGCGGTGTTTGAAATAGTCTCGAGTAGCTCAGGCTCAGAGTCCAGGATGACTTTAAACTCCTCCTGCTGCCGCCTCCCAGTACTGGGACGACAGGCATGCTCCACCACACCCTGCCGAAACCCAAGGTGTCAGGTACCAAGAGCCTAGCCTGGCTGCAGGGTTCGGACACAGGGCTTAGGGAAGGAACCGTGTCACACTGGTTATTAGGGTGAGACCTGTGGCTGACACTGCAGCTCCGTGGCAGGACTGCGCCTCCTTGTTCCTTGTTTGTTCAGTGAATGACTTATCACAGATGCACAGATGCGTTTTTTGAGCAAAAGGAGGAATTTGCCAACAGACATCTCTATGGGGATTTTATTACAGCCTTCTTTCTCTTCCATATAGGCCCATCAAACAGCCTGGAAATAAAACACTAAAGACAGTTCTGAGGTCCCTGTCTGAAACTGCTGGTCAGAGGTGATTTTAGAGGTTAGCACATCGAACCACGTGGAAGGCTCAGTCTGCTCGTCAACGTTATTTTCACAGGAAAAAAGATGGTGGCTCTCATTAACACTAATTTTGTAGCAGCTTCCCAGTTCTCAGTTGCAGTTTGGGTTCTGATATCAGAACACCAGGATTTTAATCTTATCTCCACCACACAGTAGCTTTGCCACTTTGGGCAAGCTGTTCAACCTCTATGCCTCAGCACAAATCCTGCAAAACATAGTGTCTTAGCCCACTGTGCTAGAATGAGCATGCTGGAACCCCAGAACTCTGGGGGGCTAGGGCAGTGGGGCTGCCTGGAGTTTGAGGCCAACCTGAACTACATAGTCAGTTACAGATCAGCCATAGCTACACAGTGAATGGCATTTAAGGTATTTAAAATAGCACCTTTGCACTCGGAATGTTCCTTATCACTTTGGTGATAATATGTAGTACTATATTTACATAAGTTCTATGTTAAGGACAAAATATCTCCCGTGAGAAGAAAAACATGCTAAAAAAATAACGCAAATTGTGTCCGATTGCCACAAAGTGAATGCACGAGAAAATTAAAGTACCTTAAAATGTAATTTAGATTAAGAGGGATCTGGACTCGTGCACACGTCGTCTTTACTTTCCTACAATTAGTTTAGATGCTTCGTGACTTGGTCCTTCTCTTGCCCTCTTCAAAGCGTGGAGTTTGTTGGAATGCAAGGTACAGTTCTCAGAAACGCTGGCCGCCTGACAAGCTGGCTGTTTGGCTAGTTTGAGGGCCGAGGATGCTGCAGCAAGAAGTGGGTTGGGGCAGGCCAGCTCTGCTGCTGGAGATGGAGGACCAATAGCCTCCGACAAGGCGCATCGGCGGGATGGAGCAGCCAAGGTCTTTGTGAAGGTTCCTCTGGCCTTTCCCGAGCCCAGCGGGAACCTGAAGGTAAGTGCCCGGGGTTGAGGTGGAGCCCTGGGTGGTCGCCTCCAAGAGCCGTCTGCGCGAGTTCTTCTTCGCACCCTGGGCCGGTGCTGGCGGCAGCATCCACGCAGACCCCGTTCTGCGTGGGTCCTGCAGGTCGGCGAGTCGTCGCAGCCCCTGCAGCGCCGGCCGGGCCAGCCCCGGGCGCGCTGACCTTGCTGCGGGCGGCCGGGCCGGCGCAGCCGCAGCGCCGCAGTGTCGGGCGGCTCGCGCGGGCGCCCCCGGCCC